GTATTGAGTGTGTGTATAACAGTAGGTACTGAGCTTTGCCCAATCAGAGCCCTATCCCTTCGTCTGAGGGCGTTAAATACATTTCAACCTTTTTTCTTGCAAGAAATGCCTCCGTCTCAGCTTCCTAACTTCACTCCTTGCTTTAAAAGGAGGAGCTATTTTCATGGTACTTCCTTCCAAACATGGCGGACTCCATGGGGAACTTTTCAAGCAGCTGGATGACGTTGAGCAGCTAGATCTGGCATGCCCAAAGTCCTTCCTGGAGAGTCGCTGTCCTGGAGGTTTTAGAGGTTTCCCTGCTTCAGCACAGCTGATTCTGATGATTGCAGTTCAGCAAAAGCCATTTGATCAGCTACCAATGAAAATCAGCAGTGCTGGAGCAGGACAGCGGCCCTCCAGGACTGACTTTTTGCATGCCTGGCCTAGATGAAGGACAGACCGTTGCTGGGATGCTAATCTGACAGGAGCGACTAGGAGCGCTGAAGCAACATGGAAACAGCATAAGATGTGCAGCCGCTTCCACTTTTACACCAACAGAGGATTTCTCTTCATTGCAGAACATTTAAACAGCAAGTGTACCAACATGATGAGAGAGCAGAGCTGCAGAGTCAAACAGGCTGTTTTCTGCACGTTTCCACTCGTCAGCTCAGGAGGAAAAACTGTGTTTAATAAGACGCGAGTGGAGAGGCTAAATCCAGATGTCTAAGCTTGACTGACAGCCTCTCCAGCTCCTGAGATAAAGCCAATTAAACAACATGGATAGGAGAGAGAAAAATAAATCATCTAAAGCTGGATAAATAAATGCTAAATTATTGGAGTGACCTTAGAGGGGCATTATTTCACCGCACATGCATATTGGAGATTAAAAAACACCTATAAATATTAATGCGGGGCAATTTCCAGAGTGCGAATAAGCAGTGCATTATCTCTGTGTGGGTTTAAAGTGGAGTCGGCCTGATGCCCCTTCCTCTGGCGGAGCGCAGGGAGGGAAAAACACACATTCAAAGTTAAACTAATGGAGTGGATAATACGCATTATTCAATTAAAAATGATTCCTTTATGTACAGAAACTGCAGGAGGACTTTTAGAGCAGAGTTTCACAAACTAACCAGGTCATAATGCCCCATTTTTAGTTCCCTAATCTCCTGCTTCTGTTTCCAGTTTTCCAAAGCATGAAAAGTGATCTGATTTGTATACATATCCCATTTAAAGAGAGAAGAGATTAGAGGCACATCAATCTTGGCCCAGCCCCAGGGAAAGGAGGAAAAGGTTACTAAATTTATCACTACAGCAGATTTAAATACAGGAGTTGGATCTGACTGACTGTCCTCTGAGAAAGAATAAAGCTGCCCCTCTGTGTACTCTCCCAGCACCGAGACCATTAATTACACACCTTCACCGTCCGGGTGCCCACACACACACACACACACACACACACACACACTTATTAAAGGCTGTTAATCAGGGAATCCAGCTCTTCCCAAACTGGAGCAGGTTGGTCCTTCTTGCTCCAAACGTTTTAAAAGCAGCAGCGTTGTTTTAGGGGGGGATGTATCTACTGGAGAAAACAGAAACTGAGTGCATCTATCCCCCAGCTTAGCGCTTTTCCCTCCTTTCATCCAGCAGCCATGTTTCCTGCTCCCTCGCATTGTTAATTGATTTGTTAATGACGGTTTCTTATATATGTAAAGGAAAAGTCCGGTCATATCATCAGAAGTCAAACTTCTGGAAGTAGTTTAAAAATAAAATCATTATATACTGTTCAATAAATAATAAGTGCTTTTAATTACCGTATTTTCACGACTATAAGGCGCATATAAACGTCTTTTTTTTCCCCTCAAAATGTGCGGCGCGCCCTATAGTGCGGCGCGGCCTATGTGTGTTGTTACTGCGGACTTTTGAGACCACCATGTACCATGCAGAGTGGCTGTAAGTGAGGAGACCAGGTGGTTTTTTCCACGCATCACCATCGCTGTTAATCTGTGACTCAAATGTGCCCATCTAACAGCTGATGTGAAAAACATGGTGAAACAAATGAGCGCGTTCTGAGCAGCAGGCGCAGCGCGTCGGGAGCGTTTAAGCATCTGACGCGCTTGACGCGCCGCCAACGTGCTGCTGCTGCTCGAGATGGAAAAATTGAAGTTTTGCTGCTGGACAGCAAATATAGCTGCAAGGCAAAGAAAGGATAGGATAGCTCCGCCCAACACGCGTCAGACACACTTTTGCACCGCGCAGCCAGAGCAGCAAAGCTGCTTCAGCCGCGCGTCAGAACTAACTGGTACAATCTAAACAGCAGGCAGCAGGATAATAAAAGCGAACATATTCTGCCGGCAGAATAATTCCACGAAAAGTGGAAGGCAGCGCCGGGCAAGTTACGCCACAGTTTGCGGATGGATTGTAGATGCTTGGGCTAACATGTCTGCTGGCACTGTTGTTCAAGCTTTTGCAAAAGCCGGCATCATTTCCGAGGAGCCGCGCTGCACAGAAAGTGACTCTGACAGCGAAGAAGGGGAAACTGGCATGTCTGATTTAGTGCAGCTGTTTAATTCAGAAACAGAGGATGATGACTTTGATGGGTTTGATTAATACTTTGTAATAAATACATGAATAAAGCACAATCATACTCAGTTTTGCTCCCGCTCTATTTTTAAATACGCAGTAGAGGTATTTAAAGGTAGTAGAGGACATGTACCACTATATAAAAACCGCGCCCTTTAATCCGGTGCGCCTTATGTGTGTGTTAAATACAGAAATGGCACACATGACTGAGACTGCACCTTTTAGTACGGTGCACCTTATGGTCGGGAAAATACGGTAAAAGTAATTTTTATTAGAAGGTGCTTTACTGGAGGCAGATGTGTCTAGTAGTCAGAGATGGGAAGTAACGAAGTACAAATACTTCGTTACTGTACTCAAGTAGATTTTTCTGATATTTTTACTTTACTTTACTACTTATTTTTATGGCGACTTTTTACTTCTACTCCTTACATTTTTACACAAATATCTGTACTTTCTACTCCTTACATTTTAAAAAATTGGCTCGTTACTTTAGTTTTGAATCATTTCAATGGAGTTACCGTTATTATTTTTCACGTCATCAATACTGTGAAAACGGAGCAGTTTCCCCCCTCTGTTCCCAAAGTGTAGCCGCCGTCTATCACACACAGCGTCACATCCTTCACTACATTTCCCAGCATGCACCACAGACCGGCCGTCATGGCGGCGGCAGTTCCAAACAATTCACCCGGTAATTTACACTAGTTCCGAAATTACAACGTCACCTTTCATTCAACACTTTACTTACTCACCAGCGTAGCAAACTCTGAAGGTACCCACTGCGACAGCTTTAATATACATTCCGTAGTCGGCAATAAAACGTCCCAGTCAAATTACACGTTCTCTTCCCTTAGTCCGTCAGCATACTCGTCCGTGTGGAAACACGTACCGCATTGGAGCCAGTCTCTTATCCATTGTCCCAGGGCATTGGAAAAGACTATTAGAGGGCAGGGGTGTTAAGTGGGATTTCAATGTATGTAATAATTGTTTGCATGGTAATAAGTAGGTGAAATGGTAATGTTAGTATGGTCAAATTATTTCATAAATATGTATGTTTTTGTATGAATGATGCTATTGTCTGTATTTATTTTTCTACAATGTTAACTGTGATTTATTGGGGATTTGCCTTCCTGTTTAGTTGGGCTGTCCCAATTGGCTGATTATTGGTGGGTCTATTTAACGGGCACAGTCCCAATGGCTAAGGGGGAATTTTGTTGTCCGCTGGTTCTTGCCACCTTTTTGCAAGTCATCTGCTTACTCCTCCTCTAACGTGAGACGGGAGCTGGCGAGCCGTTTTCTCACAAATACCAAATTCAATCTAATTGGATGGGAATCTACGTTGCATTTGACGCACCACTACAAGATGAATCGACAGATTCGGCGGTATTCATTGGCGGCAAATCATGGCAGCTTGGTGGCGGTGGCGTTAGCATAGTAGCATGGACGACGAGATGATTGAAAATGAACACAACGGAGATCTAGTCCTATTGGCAGACATCCATTTAAAATGTAGGCAACGGCATGAAAAAAGTGGTTTCTACTTTTACTTTTATACTTTAAGTAAATTTACAAGCCTGTACTTTGTTACTTTTACTTGAGTAAAGAAGTTTAATCAGTACTTCCACTTTTACCAGAGGATTTTTTAACACAAGTATCTGTACTTTTACTCAAGTACGGAAAGTGAGTACTTTTGACATCTCTGCTAGTAGTTCCCATTGATTTAGCTTGTAAAGCGGGGAGAATGGCGCTAGGCTTACCGCACCGTGACGTCACTGCTGGAAGATGGCAGGAGGGAGGGGCTACTATATTTGGGCAAAAATGGCCGCTCCTAGAGTCAGTGATCGCAATGAAAATTATTTTTTTAAATATTTTTTACTGCTAACGCTAAATTCATTGAATCACGGTGAATATATTAGTCTTAGGTATAAATAATGATCCGTTGATTATTCCTTGCTAAGCGGACTTTTCCTTTAAACTGAAACTTGTTAATGTTTTATTGTTTTTAAATAGAGGAAGCAACAATCAGCCACAAACCCCAGGAATGCTCAGGTGTGGAGATCAGAAAATTTCCTCTCTGCTCTCCAGGTTTTCAAATGAAGCTCTAAAGTTCGGCTCAGATTTTGTTCGGTTATTTAGATCCGAAGCCGCTGATTAACCATCATCTGTTAGACAGGTATACTGAAATAAATAATCTAACAGAGGAAACCTAAAATTTGGTTTAGCTGCTGCAGCTTCTAGATGGTTCAACGGAGCACATCTGGCTTTCAGTATCTTATAGTCAGCAGGAGCAGCTGGGCTTTTACCAGGAAGGAGAAGCTGAAACAATAATCAGTCTGTTGAAGCGCTGTGATTCTGATGTGCTGCTCTAGAAAGCCGCTTCCCTCCGTCTCCTGGAGCCCAGCTGAGCTGAACTTCACTCAGAAACAACCCGTCTTTGATTGTACCTGTTTTTCACACTGGCCGTACTCTGGGCCCTGGTCCGGCTGGAAGAAGCAAATTTCTCCTCTGTTCTTGGCCATCTCTATCAAGCTGAACGCTGTCCTCACTGTGGCATTGCGGGCGTGAACAAACACCATGACCTGTTCGACACAGGAAGGGAAGAAAAACAATTAAATGAAAATAATATTTAAATTACAAATAATAATTATTCACATCAGCAGTCTGCTGTCCATCCTCCCTCTGAATATTCTGTGGACTCCATGTTTCCTCCAGACAACATTTAATTTGATCTTTCAAACTAAATTTCCCAAATGTTCTGCAACGGGGAAATCCTCTAAACGCTGTCGGACTGTGATCCTGAAGGAGACGCCGTTTGACTGTGACCTCTGATTGGACAGACGCTGATGAGACCTAGCCTCGTGAGACCATCCTGATCTCGCGAGCTTTCAAGGTTTCACTCGCTAATCAGTCTGGAGACTCTCCGTTAAAGAAAATTTGGAGCCGTTCACCAAACGAACGTCCAATCAGCGTTGGCTTTGAGGCGGGTTGAGGTATGACGCAACGAGAAGCACGACGGTTCAGTCTAAAGAACATGGCGGCTTCAGCCGATGAAACTAGCGTTAGCGTGGCTATCGAGCAAGTTTTATGGGAATTACAGAGTATTTCTTCACTGAAAGAAGAGCAAAACACTGCTCTGGAGGCTTTTCTCAGAGGAAAAGATGTTTTTGCTCTTCTCCCCACTGGTTTCGGCAAGAGTTTGATCTTTTAATTGGCTCCTCTTCGTCGCCGCTCTGTTAGTACGTCATATGCTTCGTTGATCTGATTGGTTTATTTGGCCCGTCTATCACCAACATAGGCCAATCAGCTAACCAGTATTTTCGCCCCTTCCCAAAATTACTTCAACGGAAGGTTTCCAGATGGATATGCGGAGCAAATCCATCTGGGGGAGTCAGGTTAGAGGAGCCTCTAGGACTGACTGACAGCTGCATCACGTCACATAGCTCTGGACTATTTGCAGTGGCGTTTATTACAGGAGAAGTTGAGACCAGAAAGAATGCCAGACTTTTCACATTTTTTTATCAGTGAAAGCTTTGGAAATAATAATTTTTAATTCAGTTATGAAGTTTATTTTTCACAGAAAGCAGTAAAAGTAGTTTAATTGGGTTCAAACAGGCTGATTCTGCTGCCCTTCATGAACTCGTCTTCCTCTACGGAGACGTTCACTGGAGAGAATCAAAGTTTTATACCGGATGTGAAGAGATGATCAGAACAGGACATTTTCTGCGTATCAGGATGATCCGTTGGAGCAGAGAACGGTTCCCGACTGCAGAGACCTGCAGCAGCAGCGGCGAGCTGCGCCTGTTCCGACACACTCAGTCCACAGGGAGCCGTGTAGCAAATGTTATTTATTTGAGCTGTTTTATCAGCACCACTGAGCTGCCCCACATCTTCAGCTTATTAAACTCTGTTCTGGCAGCACGCTTCCCACCAGGAGGGCGCCGGCAGCTTCATAAAGGAAATTTCATCCATCACACCCTCCCTGATGAAATTAATATATGTCAGCGCCACTTCCTGACAATTTAATATTGGGGGGGGGGTTCTCCCTGGTTGATCATGAAGTGGACTGAAACTTTGGACGTCAAACAATCCAGACTCCTGCTGGTGCGTGATCAATACATCCCATAATAAGCATCTCTCTGAGCCACAGACCGTCTGACTCTGCAGCTCTCATCAGGCCCTCTGAGGAGGAGGAGGAGGAGCACCAGAGAAGATAAGGACCACAGAGGCTCCAGATAGCAGCTGCTCATTTAGAGGCTCAGCGCAACATTTACTGCAGAAGCTACAAGTGCTGAAAAAAGTTCAGTTTCTAAGAAAGAAGTTCAATCACTGATGCTCTTCTGCTCTGCAATCAGAAACCCTCTGAAGACTCGGCTGAGCAGTGATTAGATGAACCGACATGAAGATCTGGATCAAGGTGAAGATGCAGGAAAAGGACGGAAAACTTTTAAGTCGTAGGGAAGCGGCTGTTCCTATCGTTGCATTTTCGAATTCTCCCGAGTGGTGCACGACTTTACACGAGTGAATAAAGTGAACGTGATTGATTATCAAGGGAGCGGGATTGTTGTGGCGGGAGGTTTGCAAGCAAGTTTGGTTGTGGCCGGTGTCTCAGAAGCATGTTGCTAACCAGTTAGCATCTTAGTGCTAGCAGGTTCCCAATGGGAAATTCCATTGGGACCAAGTAGCACTAAATTGGTGACTTAGAAACGACGCTGTCAAGGAACGCTATGGACAGCGGAAACATGCAAGAGGAGGAGAGTTTAGTGTCGGAGGTCGTGGATGAGTCTCCTCCGTCATCCATTTTTTATTTAGAGGAGGAAAGCGGGGACGAAGATGTTGTGGAAGAGGACGCCAGGGCGGCAGAAGCTTGGTTTGGTGTAGAAGGCTTCCAGCCGTACATGTTTGAGCCCTTGCCTCGCAACGCTGCCAGTTCTGTTAGCTCTACGCCTGCCGAAGACACAGACGTCCATCCCCGTGAACACTGGGATGGAACTCAATGGGAAAGGAAAGGATTCTGATTTCAACCGTTGCGTATATTAGCTGCGACACATGAATAAGATGAATTTTATGTAAAATGGGTTATTAAAAAAAAACAAAAACTGAATGTTAGAAATGTAACTATAGTTATATATTTACATTTCTGTTTTGTTTTTGATCACAATGTTTTTATCACTGCTGCTTATCTTATAAAGGCTGCACTTTCAAAAATTAAATAGTCTAGAGAGCGGTACTGCACAAACTTTCTGTGTATTCAAAATGACAAAATAAAGTCTGTCTAAGTCTAAGACAGGACTTTTTTTTAAATAGAATTTATTATAATTTTGGGAAAATATGGTCTGATAAAGAGAACATTTATATAGATGTTTAAGCCAGAATGATTTGACATTTAAATATGATTTCCCCACGCCTTTAATGAACCAGAACCATGAAGCGAAGGCAGCCAGCAGACAGGTCCTCAGTCTCAGACCGTCCTGAAGTCGAACCTGGCAAAGTGTGAACAGTTTAGATCTAAACCAGAATCTGCAGGGAAAAATCTGGCAGAGCAACTCCTCCTCCTGCAGGCTCCACATGGCAGACCAGCATCTGCCTGGTTTCTTTCTACGCTCATCACCTGAAACCGTGAGGCTGTTTGTTCAAAGGATCCGTCTGAGTTTGGAGAAGCGAAGCCTGCCAGCGTTACTGTCAACCGTTTTATTTTTAGAGCAGGTATTTCTGTAACTCAAAGACCTGCACAAACACATCAACACTGATCACACTCATCTTTGTCTTTTTTCTAAGAAAGAAAACAACAAATTAAAATGCCCATAAATACTTTCTTTTTAAAGGCATTGAGAGAAAGGCTTGGTTTGTTTTATAGTTAAGTGGATGAAGGAGCATTTTAGTTTAGAGGTAGAAGCACTGACCTGATGACCGGCTTTGATCTGCTGCAGGACTTTGTTGTAACAAACCTCTTCCATGTCATGGAGCTGCTGGATCTGAACACAAAACAGATATAATCTGTTTTAGTTGTCTATGCTGATGGAAAGGAAACAATCAGATGCCTGATAATGACTCTTTGTTTCATGAACTTTGCTGTTGAAGCGTGTAAACCCAAGTCCTGCAGCCTTTAGGTGCCAATCAGTGGACGCCGAGTGGGGATTTACCTTGTTGGTGGTCTTGATGCCAACGAAGGTTTGTCCGAGAGGCACGGGTCTGAAGCGGCTGTCGAAGAAGAACAGGCCGATGTAGGGGTTGACGTGCAGGAAGGCGGCCACGTCCAGGTAGTTTGGCAGAGTGGCCGACAGCCCCAGGATCCGGATCATGCTCTGGGTCGACTCCACCTGTCCATCAAACGGTGCAGTGTTTAAAGGTGGGCGGAGCTAAATCAGCCCAGAGACCCTGAACGACTTTGGAGTAGCAAGAAAACTCTTTAGATATTAATCAAATGATCAAATTCTTCTGATGTTTCACACAGATTAGTCCAACATTATCAGCAGATTCAGTCCTGACTGGAATCTACCAACCTCAAAGACTTCCAGGTATGCCCACACAGCAGCTCTAGATGCTTAATTAGTGTTTTAGCCTAAATATAAACATTTAATTTCTGCTGGTTGCTCCTAATAAAATCCACCCTCCATCAGACTTCAGCCTAAACAGTTCAGGGCAGGTGAAAGGAGAAAGTAGGCGTCACACAGCAGAGCTCTGCTGATGCAGATTTCCCCGTACATACAAGAGCATTAAAGTTTGAATCTGCCCGCTACATTGGAGGACTACAGAAGCCGAGAGTGAGCGTGTCTCTCTGATACTTTATCACAGTGTTTTTTTTTTTGAAAAAACACGTTAATTTTCTCATTAACCCTTTAAAAAAGAAAAACATTAAAAATAGAAAAGCTGACTCCTTGGTTTAATGCAGAGCTTCATACTCTGAAACAAAATGCTAGGAAACTGGAGAGAAAATATCGCTCCACAGGCCTGCGGGAATCCTTCGTAGTCTGGAAAAATAGTTTACTGCTGTATAAGAGGACCCTTTGTAAAGCAAGAGCAGCATACTTCTCCTCATTAATAGAGGAGAATAAGAATAATCCTAGATTTATTTTTAATCCAGTTGCCAAACTCACCCAGAGCCATAGCTCTGTTGAACCGTCCATTCCACCTGCTCTTAGCAGCAATGATTTTATGGGATTCTTTATAAATAAGATTGATCTTAATAAAAATAAGATCATTAGCACTCCTCTATCTATGATTGGTTTGTCTCTGGAAGGTGGGGCAGCATCTGAGGTAGTCATGGAATCTGAACCGGGTTTAGACTGCTTTGATCTAGTTGAACTTCCAGAGTTAGCAAAACTATTGTCTTCATCTAAGCCTTCAACTTGGATGTTAGATCCAGTTCCAACCAGGTTATTTCCACCGTAATGAACTTTTTGAAGAGTTTCAGTCTGGCTTTAGAGCTCATCATAGCACTGAAACAGCTCTGGTGAAAGTCACTAATGATTTTCTCATGGCCTCAGATAATGGACTTGTATCTGTGCTCGTCCTGTTGGATCTTAGTGCTGCATTTGATCCAGTTGATCAGAATATTCTTTTAGAAACACTTGAATATTTTATTGGAATTAAAGGAACAGCACTAGACTGGTTTAAATCTGATCTATCTGATCGAATTCAGTTTGTTCACGTTAATGATAGATCTTCCTCATGCTCAAAGATGCTGATCACACCAGGTCAGATACAGATGACGTTACTCTGTATAGGATCAAAAAACATTTTAAAGCATTTTTCTGAGTCGCTCATCTTTATTTGAGGTGCCAAAAGCCTCTGGTGGCTAAAAGCTTCTGGCCCTGAGTTTCACCTAATAAATAACCAATAGCATCCTCTGAAACAGGCTGGACGCTTTAAGAAGGGGTTTGCTGCTGTACAGAACTATGATCTCCCATTTCCTAAGCCTTCCAGGCGTATGAATAACAGTGCAAGTAAGTAAGTAATGCTTATTTATATAGCACCTTTCACAGACTTGGAGGTCACAAAGTGCTTCATAAAATTAGTTCAAATAAAAATACATTTACATTTACAGTCACAAAAGACAAGATCATAAAACAATCCTTAATCTACTAGAATTAAAATGCTATCTTAAACAGAATCAAGTACGCGCAAAGAAAGCTGAAGATCGTTCCAAAGCGCCGGCTCAACGGCCTGAAAGGAGCGATCTGCCCTGGTTCTGTAACGAGTACGAGGGACCATGAGCAGGTTCTGGTCCTGAGACCTCAGCCTCTGAATGGGGGTGTAAGGAAACAACAAGTCTCTAATGTCGGAGCGAGCCTGACCGTGGAAGGCTCTTAAGGTCAGCACCAGGATTTTAAACTGGAACCGAAAACACACTGGGAGCCAATGAAGAGCTTTTAGAATCGGCGTAATATGAGCTCAGTGACCTGAACCTGCTGAAGACCAGTCAGACTACTTTTTTTTTTAGACATGAGAAACATTAGTCTAAATGGGAAGACACAAAGGCGTGGATAATCATTTCAAGACCTCTGGACAAAATTGTTTTAAGTTTAGAGATTTCCTTCAGCTGGTTAAAAACAGTTTAATTCAATTCCATTTATTAATATAGTTTTATAAAGTTCCTTGTCAGCAGTTTTGAGAGGTGCTCTTAAAGACAATGCTTTGTCAAAGATGACGCTTAAGTTTCTAAGGCTTGGTTTAACACCCTGATATTGGTGGATACCTGGAATAGCGCCAAATCACCAGCACCTCCGTTTTATCTGAGTTTAGTTGCAGGGAATTTGCACCAAGCTTCTGTTTAACTTGTGCAAGACATTTCAGTAGAGCTTAACTTCTGGATCTCTGAGGACTAAAACGAGCAGTAAAGCTGGATATCATCAGCAAACAGGTGATAGGAAACATCATCAAATCTCTGAATAAACGTTCCAAATGGAAGGACATACACTAAAAACAAAACAGAGCCCTGAGTTACCCTGTACAACAATTCGGCAGAGTCAGACAGGATCTGGTTTTGCAGAGAGTAACAGTGAATTTTAGCATATGTGTGTGTAAATATGTGTGGATATGTGTAGATCAGTGAGTGAATAAAGGCCCATCGCCTCCTCCATCCTGGACACAGACGCTGCTTCATCTCTACTTTCATCTGCAGAAACCTAACGCTAAACAACCCAGCATCCTGCAGCTGATGGCCAGATTCTCTGAATGAATGTACCTCATGTCCCTTTCTAAGAAAGGTTAAACACCAACCAGCGTTAAACCTCTACTGTGATTGTGTAATAAGCAGCGCCCCCCCCCCCCCCCCCCCCCCCCCCCCCTCCGACACACACACACATCCAGCCTCTCAGAAAACAGAGGACAATAAACTTCAAGGTTGAACCTACACTTCAGAATAACAGCATTTTCGGAGTAAAGTGCTGCTGAAACACAGGCTATTATGCTGCTAGCGTAGAAGGCTGTAGTGGTTAAAAGAGAAGCCGATCTTCTGTCAGATGAGTGTGACATGTTCGGCTAATAAAAAACAAAAATAAAAACACTAACAGCCCCTTCTGAGTAAGCCACCAGAAAAACGTGTGCTGAACGAGGAGAGCTTTGGGCTGATACAGGAGGAGCCTTGGAAACGGCTTTCAAACCCAAACTGAAATAATCCTCGGTTGTTTGGTCCTAAAGCGCTGATTTAAAAAGCAGATTGGATAAATAAATGATTGCATTGTGTGTATTTGCATTTTTGCAAACATATTTACCTGCACAGCTGATTAGATTTTCATTCATCTGGTTTTGGAGAGAAGAAGAAATACATTGAAAACATTTTTTAATCCTCTAATACAAGGAAATATTTTCTGGTTGGATTAAAACTGTGGGATTAGTAATTTGGGTGGTAATCTGTGCATATTATATTTCCTCCCAAACTGTGACTTGGTTAATGATTTGAACCATTTTATTTCTTCTTCATGTATTCAGTAGCTTATAAGTTTAGTAGAGTTTAACTTGTTCAGTCAATAGTTTTTAACTATTGAATGATTTTTGTTAATTCTTCTATTTTAAATGGAGGTGGTGGTGAACTGATTCCACATGTGTGCAGAGTTTAAGGCTGAGATCAGATCTGGTGTTCGTCTGCTATCCTAAAACACAGCCGGTTAGGTGTGTGTTTAAAGGACAATATAAAACAGAGGGAAATATGGTAGATTAAATAGCAGAAAATTACAATAGGTATTTAATTAAATATAAAAATCAATAAAAGTATAAATCTCAATTAGAGTCGTTGACAAAATCTTTATTTCATTTCTTAATTGAGTCTCATATTATTTCCTAAAGATCAGTTCCTATAAAATTTTTTCTTACCGCTAACTAACTTTCCCTGCTATAAATCAGTGTTAAAGGAAAAGTCGCTCATATTCAGAATTCAAACTTCTGAAAGTTCTTTAAATCTGAAATGATTCCATCCTGTTCAATAAATGATCAGAGTTTTTAATTCAGAGTGATTTTCATGTGAATGTGCTTTACTGGAGGCATCCATGTTTGTCAAAGAACACTACTGCCACCTACTGGTTAGTGACGTCACGGTGCGGTATCGGCTGTTGATCAAGTCCCAGTGCTGTATCTGGTGTTTTTTTTTAGGCAAACAGCTTGTTTTTTAAATGAAAGTAAAAAAAACAGAAAAATCAGCACATTAAATTTGGAAAACCTTTTTAAAATAAACATTTCTCTTTTCGCACCGTGACGTCACTGCTGGAAGATGGCAGGAGGGAGGGGTTACTGTATTTGGGCAAAAATGGCCGCTCCAAGACTGTTTTCATTTTTTTACTGATTAACGCTAAATTCATTTAATCACCGCAAATAATGACCCATTGATTATTCCTTGCTGACTGGCCTTTTCCTTTAAACATCACTGAAATCAATATGTTGAGTAAACAAACAGTCGTGTTCTTCAGGTTACAGCTGAAAAATGAAGCATCGTAAAAAATAACTTTGGAAGAGATTTAGAGAAAGAAAACAGTTATTCTACTTATAGAAAACGAACTGTTATTGACACAAAGTTAAAAGTAGTGTAGCTTAATGTGGCTAACTGACCGAGCTAAAAGAGGCTAACCTGTTAGCTACTGAGCTCAGTTAGCCACAGCGCTACCCAGCTCTTTATATCAGGGTCTGACAGTTACTTTGTTCACCAGAAACAGATTTTTTTGCAGTTTTCTTATCAATCAGGTAAAACTTCATCCATCATTAGACACTCGAACACTACGGATGCTCCTGACTCGGCACACGAAAAGCTGGGTGATGTTATTACCGTTGTCTGGGCAAACACAATGTTTTACAATCATGTGGCAACCATCATGTAGCGTAACGTCAG